ATTCTCTATGTCCAATCCAGTTTCGTGCGAGGCGCTCTCTTGGCGTACAAATCAGGCTTCGATGGAGTCCAGCTTCATGTTGCCCATGGATGTGAGTCCATATGATATTTGTGTTGATGTATCTGGGTTAATCTTGAATTATTTGCAGATTTACTGGCACAGTTCATGAGCCCTAAGGTGTGGCCACCGTGTACTTCCAGAAGCTAACCTTAATTACGTGTCAGAGTAATATCCGGAACGACGAATATTCAGTAGCACCGGAAAACGTCACCCGCATGCTTTCCGAGATAGTTGAAGCTATCCGCAAGGTGGTGCCAGCCACTTTCATAATCGGAATCAAAATCAACTCGGCTGACTATGTAACTTCTGGAAGCGCCCAAGAAGCATCTCAGGAAGGCGAACGGCGTGTCCTGGATCACATTCGCACCATTGCAAGTTGGGGTATCATCGACTTTATCGAGATCAGTGGAGGCGATTACGAAAAGCCTGGTAAGGGGGCGTAAAAGGAGAATGTTCCTCACAGTCTAACCCGATCTCTTACTCAGACTTTATGGCATGCAGTGGATCTCAAAAATCAGACCGCCAGGCCTTCTTTGCGCAGTTTTCACGGACAGTCATGAAGGACCTTTACCAATCGCCTGTCCCTTCCCCTTCCGTCCCACTTATTCTACTGACTGGTGGCTTCCGTTCCCATTCTCATCTACAAGCTGCCTTGATGTCGAAGCACGCCGACTTGCTAGGCATCGGGAGAGGTGCCGTCCTCTGTCCCGACCTGCCCAAGATCCTTCGATTACAGCTACAAGATAGCAAATCTTCTAGCACTTGGGCTGACAAACCCTTTGCACACGAACCAGAAGCAGTGTTCAGAGCTTCTAAATGGATACCAAGTGTGAAGCTCATTGGCGCTGGCGTCGGGACTGCATGGTATACCGCTAGAATGAGGGACATTGCCATCTCCCAGATCAAGAACCCCAGGGCAGAACCACCACCCGCGGATTACAACAGAGGAGGATTAATCGCTGTGTTTAAGATGTGGGTTTGGTTCGACTCTATAATGGCTCCGATTTGGGTTCTAGGAATATTCACGGTGCTCATTGTCACGCTCGAGGTTTTCTATCAGCACTAAAGGTGGCGTCATCGGTACGCCAGGCGGATCGGGACGTTCATGCCGGTGCGACCTCCGAGCAGGGCAGGACGGCCGAAGGCACCTTGGCGCTCCACGTGGCCCGTTATCATCGATTGTCGCATCCCAACTTGGAGACACTGGAGGAGTTCGTACATTTCATAGGACGGACTGCTCGTCACTATACGATGTGCTTGACTTGTGCGGTTCATTTTTCGATTCAGGACTCTGACTAGCTGGCCAGGTTGATCTGAAAAGCGATTCACAATAGCCTCCTCATTCTCCTCATTCTCATTCTTCCGGTATATCTCCGCGCGCGACGTTATCGAATGAGTTCTGCTGATTCAACCATTCCCATTTCTGACTCTGCCTTTCATATTTGTGCCGGAATCAGTCACGGACGATTGCATTCTTAGAAGCCTCGTTATCTCGCTATGACTTACTATTTGATACAGGCAATATAATCGTTCCCCTTAGGGAGGACATTGTTGCTGCTCCCGAGGTCGACGGGATCTATCGTTCGGTAGTCTCCACTAGGCAAAACAAGTCTAGCCAAGACAGTCGCCACTTCTAGGGATGGTACCCCATATTGTCTGGCTGGAGCTTTCTTGGTTTCCCCGGCTGCAAGTAGAACCATAAGGTGATAAGCCCTTTGGAATGAACTCATCGCACACGTATTATTGTTCGCAAAGGCATGCGCTTTTCGGCACGTATGGTCCGTAGAAGACATAATGTGGAGGGCGTGACTCTCGCGATTGTCACTGTTTGGTAAATATAGCTCTGAAGAGGACTATAAAGCTAGGGCGCGCGAGGCCATTAGCCTGTCAATTGATTCTTGTATAGTGGTGTCAACATGCCTGCGACAACATCGGTAACACTCAACACTGGAGCAATCATGCCCACAGGTCGGTCTTGGTAAGCATAGTCGGAAGGGGGACCATCTCATGTACTGAACGTTGAACGCTTGCGAATATAGGCACAGTGGAAGTCCAAGCCCGGCCAAGTCGAATATGCCTGTTGAATTCGCCTTGAAGAACGGATACACGCACATTGACACTGCCGCTGGATACCAGAATGAAACAGAAGTTGGACAGGGGATCAAGGCGTCTGGTGTGCCAAGGGAGCAAATCTTCCTGACCACGAAGCTTGATAACCCTGATCAGAGACATCCGGAAAAGGCCCTTGAGGCATCGCTGAAGAAACTTGACACTCCTTATCTGGACCTCTGTAAGTGGCAATCCATTCGCCGATCTTGAAGAGTGGACTCATTTCTTGAGCAGGGCTCATGCACTGGCCAGCTCCCATGACAAGAGATGGCAAGCCAGACATGGGACACGACTGGTTGAACACCTGGAAAACTATGGAAGACTTACACCTTGCTCACCCAGAGAAGCTGAAGGCCATTGGTCAGTAGCCCAACCTCACGTGCTATCTTTGTACTAAAAATACATTAGGTGTTTCCAATTTCTCCGTGGAGTACTTTGAACGCTTATTGAAAGTTGCCCGCGTCGTACCGGCCGTGAACCAGATTGAGCTCCACCCGTAAGTCAACGCATTTGTTTGTTGGGTAGTCTGATTGTGAATCATTATTCGTAGTTCGTGTCCTCAAGATGATGTCGTCGAGTACTGCCAGAACAAGGGAATCGTGTTGACAGCTTATTCTCCATTGGGATCCGACAATTCCCCCTTGTTGAAAAACGAGACTGTAACAAAAATCGCAGCAAAGTACGGTGTACAACCCGCCAATGTGTTGATATCCCTTCATGCAAACAAGCCCATGCACACTGGTGTGTAGTCTTCATGAGTATTCTTACTGGAGAGTTCGGTTCTCATTGGTATAACAGTACTTCCCAAGTCCGTGACCAACGAGCGTATCTTGAGTGAGGCGTTATTCCATCATTAATTTTGACTGTTATTCATTATTTTCCTCAGACAATGCGAAGATCATAGATTTGACCCCTGGAGAAATTGGCGAGCTTCATGACATTGATAAAACGCACCATTTCCGTGCTTGTCACCCTTCTTGGACAGGTTTCGGTGGTCTTGGATTCCCTGATTGCAAGTAGATTTATGGGTAGTCGAAGTGTGGGCGTAGAGGTGATTGGGGATCGCTATCCTTCAGCATCTATGAAGATGCTGTATGCAGAGACACCACTTCCAAAGAGTAACTGAACTCCATTATGGACTTGGTTATAGTCGTACCTGTACATGGCAATGCCTGATAGAACTGTCAAACCATTGAATGCAGCTAGTAGACTAAGTGACAAAGGACCGTCAATTTTTCACACGAAGCATTGTTAGAACTCAGAATTGGGCAAGCCTGCGCAGCGTGTTTCGACGGGACAATATACGCCTATTGTTTCCTTATTGTCTATTCTTACGATATGTTTCACTTATTGTGCCTACTGAATTATTTGTTTTTACGATATGTTTCACTTATTGTAACTACTGAATCATTTGTTTGACATGGCCAACGCCGATTTTCTTTTGTTGTTGCCCTTATGGCACTTGATAAACCAAGACAATAAAACATACCTTACTTATAGCCGCGAATTATTAGTCTGCATACCTCAGACATTTGCGTTCTACGCGCTCGACTGAGGTAAGATGCCTTATATTGACTCGTACTTGTCATTACTCACTCTACGTGGAGAATCTGCTTGCTACAGATTCGTGTGGATGCAGATCCTTGATATACATGTGCATACATTGATATTGGGCTTACAATACCGAGCAGTAAGGTGTTCCAGTCAATGCACGCGAAAAACGCATGCATCGATTGGAATACCTTCCTTCCCGGGGTTTCCCAAGGGATATGTCAAGCGCTTCGAGGGAAACAATTGGTCACCATGCACAATAACTTGCAAACAACCCCGGGGTCCCCTAGGCCTGCGATATCCATTCCGCAGAAATAGGAGAGAGTACGACTAGATCGACATTCCATACCTCACTTTAACGGCCGTTCTGCTGGCGCTCTCGTATATATACATGGATCTGTTTATGAGAGGCTTGCCTTCAGCTATCCCGAGCGAAAAAGAGTATCATCATGAAGTAAATTTGAAAGTATCATAGGTTGAGTAGGAGTTTGAATGGATTTCTGAGATAAGGACGGTGGGAATCGCACGTTAGATAGCCAGGGCGGATGTTGCATGGCTGTGCAGAAGCGCTTTGAATATGGGTATGGAAGGGCCTATCAGCGTGATAGGCTGGACTTCATCGACGCATGATCGGACCCTTACTATTATTTAAATAAATAGAAGTAGTAGCCGTTTTTATAAATAATTTCCAATATCAGAATTCCCTGTTGTTCACAAAAAAACCGATCGACAAAGACCCAGCTACCTAAAGGTAGCGGGAATTCCGACCGGAAAAAATCTAAGTTCATTGAAGTTCTTGGAACGCGTTTAGCTACATGCACAAAACCATCGAGAGTGTCTTTGCATCGCCAAATTTACATGTAATGATCCAAGTTAGTCTCCTGTATTATAATTAGTGACTAGTCAAACCAAGAGGTGTGGGAAATTGCAATTCCGAACATGGAGCTGGCGTAAGTTGGCACACACCCCCTCCTACCATGACAGCGTTATGGTCACGTTAATTAGACCATATACGAGGAGGAATGTATTAGGATGCGGGAGGCCGCCAGTGTGCTATTATGAGAACGGTATTAGGGCAAGGCCCAAATTAACGGACAGCAAACAAGGATTCAAAGAAAAAAGTCGAAATTGGGTGTACATGTTGTAGAGGTATGCAAGTCTTGAAGTTTGAAATATCGAAGACCTTGGCAACAGGCTGCACATAACCATGGCTGGAGGCTACATGTAAAGTCGTCAGATTAACACGTTAATCAACAAGCTGAGGGTATGCACGAAATTGATCATACACCAATATGGATGAACACTATGCGCTGGTCCAAGGGCATGTCCTTGTTGCAAGCCAACGAGTGGACTGCTTGGTGCAGCGCCAGGGCAGCTCGTTTGGAATTCATTTTACTATTCCTGCACAAGTTTTTGTAGAATGCCTCGACTAAGCGCTGCACGGTACTATCATTGACCTTCCACAATGTCCCAATGACGCTCTTAACTCCAGTGAATTGCAGGCCAGCAGCTAGGTGTATCACTTTGTCGGGCATACTGAAGGCACCGACTGCGGTTTCACAGGCAGAAAGAAATGCAAATTGATGCCGGGAGAGATCCATTTGGGTGATATCGAGGAGTGAAAGCGGGTGGTTGCGCATAAGAAAGGCCAACTTAAAGGGTTCATCAAATTTCAGTGTCCCGTGGCACACGAAATGGAGCCATGTATTATCTCGCAGTGCGCATAGCGCTCGCGATTTCGTGGCATCAATACTCGTTACCTTGGTAGAGGAAACGGTTGGGGGAGGGGGCAAAAGACTCAGCACCAAATCCAGCTCAGGCTCCACACTATCCAAAGTGAATAAAGCACCGGCTGGGTGGTTCTGGCCAATGGCAGCGAAGGACACTGACAGCGACTTGTCATGCCTTCTGTGAGCCTTCATCAGCGCGGTGAGCGATGGGGCGTATGAAGAGATATATTTCTGTGAAAGGGACTCTCCATTTACCCTGTATTCGCCAGCAGTGTGCAATGGCAAGAAATTGAAGAGAGACGTCGGGTACCACCATATTCGGGAACCTCGTTGTGCAAATTTGCCCAGATTCTCGACCACCGGACAGACGACATTGCCCCACAACTCCCTCAAAGCTTTTGTCAGCGCTGGTTGGTTCCCTCTAGGACTGGCCTCTTTTTTAATTGCCTCTTGAAATTTGACCACCAATGCCTGGAGTTTCTTAAAACTGGTAGGGAGTTGAATGCTAGTCGGAGATAGTTTGTGCAGGATAATAATGGCATCACAAGATGAGTGGCTTGCTGTTACAGTCAAGTACGCCCCTATTCATTTTCTTTCTCTTACATCATTGTATTACATCACGATCGCATCTTGCCGTCGCTAGATGATCTATTCTTCTTATCTTTGAACTCGTCTTATCTCTGACTCGTTTCTATGACCTCATCGTACCGGCCCTAAAGTTGCTACCATTCACTATATAAACTCGTCCTGTACTATGTAGTTCTTTACTTTAATCTTACTAGGTTTTACCTGGAACTTCCTTCACTTAAGACCTCCAATCTTAAGTTGTATTGAACTTGATTCGAGTCGAGGACACTCTCCTCTTCTCGTCTTAGGAATACTGAAGCTTCGGCATACGCCGAAGCCTTGAACCGACCTTGGCCGATTACTCTTATCGAGTAGCCATACGTCAGACCCATCCTAGTTCGTAACAAAAGATTAAAGTCTTCTATGAATACATCGCCATCACGTGTTGTAACCCAGAACTGAACAAACCCTGGTCATCACGATAGATAGAACTCCAGGTCCCCAGAAGCTGAAAACAAGCTGACGTCATTAACACCAATTTTTGGCGCTTTGAACCTAGGTGCTGTACCACCCCTACCACCTTTGAATTCCCCGATGTCTTCCATGAAACCTATCGAAATCAAGATCGGATCTCCCCCAGTCTTTGATGGAGATAGAGATACAGTGGCTCAAAAAAACCGTCCGTATGTTTTGGCATTTTTCACTATCTATAATATTGTGTGAGAACAAACAAATGCCTCAAAAACATGCTTATACCACATTGTAGTATGGCGTCAGGGCTTTCATTTGAGCCCTACACCGTGGGAATCGGTGGAGATATGGTGGAGATACAAGGCTCACAAAATGGTGACTCATGCGGACAGTTTTTTGACTCAAGTATTTTACAGTAATAACCAGGTATTCTAGTATTTTGTATGACCTCCCTTGGCTTTAATTACTGCCTCTATCCTTCTAGGCATACTCTCAATTAATTTCTGGCAATCCTCAGCTGTGATCTTCCCCCATTCCACTGCTACTCTCTCCCAAAGCTCCCATACTCCTTTAGGGGGGTTTTCATAGGCTTGAAGCTTTTTCTTGAGTGTTCCCCAGAGATGTTCAATGACATTGACATCAGGAGACTGTGCTGGCCAGTCAAGAACATTGATGTTATGTTCTTCAAACCATTCCCTAGCTCTTCTGGATGTGTGCTTGGGATCATTATCCTGTTGGAAAATGATATCTTCTTCATCAATCCCTGATTCTGCCAAGCTAGGCAGCAAGTGGTCATTTAAAATGTCCACATACTGCTCAGCATTCATCTTCCCCTCAACCTCAGCAAGCATTCCCACACCATTCCATCCCATACAGCCCCATACCATTAAAGAACCTCCTCCAAACTTGACAGTCCCATTAACCTCTCTGTCTGTTAGGCCATCTCCCTTCTTTTTCCATACATACACCTTCCCATCTGACCCAATCCTATTGATTTTGGTCTCATCTGACCATATAACATGCTTCCAGTCCTCTACAGTCCAGTGTTGATGAGCTAAGGCAAAGGCTAGTCTTCTCTGCCTATGTTTGATGGAGAGAAGAGGCTTTTTCTTCTTTGTTACTGCCTTGAGATGAGCTGCCTTGAGAACATTCCTCACAGTTTGTGAAGAGACAGGGGTAGTGATGGTGGAATTGATATAATGGGTGGCTTGGACAGCATTATCAGCCTTTCCTGTAGTGATATGTTGGATAATAGCCCTTTTGTCAGTAGAGGTAAGCTTGGATGGACGTCCTCCACAAGAGTTTTCCTTGTCTGGGTGGCTTTCTTTGATGAACTTGGCCACAGTGGACTTGCATATTCCAGTTCTAGAGGAAATTTGGCGAGCAGAGAGGCCAGCATAAGACAGAGAGAGGATATTATCTCTTTGAGCAGAGGAGATGGCTTTCATGGTGATTATGACTATGATACATGAGATATTCTGGTTTATATAGTTAGATATAGTCATAAAATAACATAATGACACCACTTTATAATTTATATAATAGTGGCATGATTTTTATGGTGTCATAAATAATGATTTATATAGTTTTAATATACACTCAAAAAACTGTCCACATGAGTCATCATTTTATAAGCCTTATATCTCCACCATATCTCCGCCGATTCCCACGGTGTAGGGCTCAAATAAAAGCCCTGAAGCCATACTACAATGTGGTATAAGTATGTCCTTGAGGAATTTGTTCATTCTCACACAATATCATAGATAGTGAAAAATGTCAAAACATGCGGACAGTTTTTTGAGCCACTGTAAATCCGAAGGATTCTTAATGTCGTGCATGTCTTACCTCGATATCAACGAGAAGATCTATGTCGATGACAAACAGAAAATCATTTTCGTAACCTCCTTCATGAACGAAGGGAACGCACGCTACTGGAAGGAAGATTTCCTCAGACAAGTGCAAGACCCCAACAACAAAACTACCGTAGGCCTTGTCAAAGGATATGGTACATGGGCCGAATTCCTTGCCGATTTCAAAAGCGCGTTTAGGCCGCTTGATCCCTCAGGAACCGCGTTAGCCAGACTCCGTAACCTGAAACAAGGAACCGAACTTCAAGATTATATCTCGGAGTTCTTGATGCTCACACGACGGGCAGGAATTCAAGGTGACGTCGCCAAGAAGCAATTCTTCCTAGACGGACTGCACCCAGGACTGCTCGCCTCGCCTTTATGGCACGGGCGATGTCTCTGATTATTTCGAAGTTGTCCTCTCCACTTGTATCAACCTCGACAACTCTCGCCTTCACCTGAATGCCATTAGGGCACGCAACCAACCCCAGAAGAAGAAGAACTTCGGATCCAACCAATACGTGCCATCCAGAGACCCCAATGCCATGGTGATTGATCGGCTTTCTGAAGAAGAACGCGCGGAACATTTCCGAACCGGAAAATGTTTCACCTGTCACAAGACGGGCATCTTTCTAAAAATTGTCCGGAGAAGAAGAAAGGAAAGACTCCGGTACGCCGCAAAGAAGTAGAAAGCAGCGATGAAGAAGAAGAAGAAGCGGAAGTCCGCCGTCTCAACGAGGATTTTTGATATGGGAGACTGGATCAACGTCAGTATCTCTCAATGTACCCATAAGACTTGTACGAAAAGTTGGTGAACGAAAAGAACTTCGGGTTCCCCTTTCCCTCATTTCGAAAACACGTCTGAAAACCGTTGAAACCACCGCAGTTGTTGATTCCGGAGCGGCCGGAACCTTTATCTCAGAAGACTTCAGTCAAGAAACACAAGATCCGAACCCACGCCCTTGGTAAACCTTTTCGGGTTACTACCGCCGATGGAAGCTATTCCAAGAGTGGAGATATACGCCGATACTGCGTTCTCACCATCAAGGTTGACGAACGAACCATGATAGGGAAGTTTAATGTCACATGTCTTGGAAGAAGAGACCAGATTCTCCTAGGATTCCCCTGGCTACGGGCTATGAACCCGCTATTGACTGGACAGCCAGACTCTCATTCTTTCTCGAACGGAAAAAGAGTAATCAAGTTGAAGAAGAAGTCGACAAAGAAAGGAAGAAGAACGACCTTCCACTTCTATTTCGACAAGAACCCATAGATCGGACTTGGAAGCAATCCAAACTTAGGAAAGCACTAATTGTTGAAAACCCCTATCGTTTATCCTAAAGCGACCATCGAAGAAATCGTTGACGAGGAAGCACCATCTGTTTCCCCCCATCATTGATTCGCTCCCTGATCTACTCCCATCCCCGATGAAGACGATGAGACCTTCGACACCAAGGAAGACGTCTGGACGCAAGAGAACTTTGCCGCACCAGTGCGAGAAGTCTCTATGTACGACCTAGATGATGACGAATTCCTGGTGGAATATTCCCTTGACGCATCCGAACTCCGGGTAATTTCAAATACTACCATGGATATGCCATTGACCCAGACTGGTACCAGTCGTTCTGAACAGAAACCCACGGTTGAACCCTTGCCACGGCCTACGGAATACGCGAAAGTTAGTAACAAAGCTCAGCAGTTCGCTCTAGCTGCGGGCTTAGAACAGAAGAAGAAAACTTTCGAAGAACTCGTACCCTCCTATCTCCACGACTTCGCCGATATCTTCGCTAAAGACGGTCTCAATCAACTCCCTCCTGAACGACCCGGTATTGACCATCGCATTGAAACGAAACCCGGATTCATCCCCAAAACGTCGAAAATCTATCCCCTCTCTATCGCCGAACGAACCGCTGTCAAAGCATTCATTGATGAAAACGTAAAGAAAGGTTTTATCTCGGAATCTAAGTCGCCACAAGCCAGCGGTTTCTTCTTCGTAGGAAAGAAGAGCGGAGATCTCCGACCCTGTCAAGATTATCGGTATATCAACGATTGGACGATCAAGAACGCCTACCCCTTGCCGCTTCCCTTATCCCTTGTCGCACGGTTACACTGGAGCAAAGTATTTCACCAAGATGGACGTCCGATCCGGTTATAATAACATCCGCATTCACCCTGATGATAGATGGAAAGCTGCGTTCACCACTGAATTCGGACTCTATGAGCCGAATGTCATGTTTTTCGGGCTTTGCAACTCCCCGGCCACATTCCAAGCCTACATGAACCGTACTTTCCAACAGGAAATCAATGAAGGATGGTTGGTAATTATATGGACGATATCCTCATCTTTTCGGATAACCTTGATGAACATCACGCTCGTACCCGTCGAATTCTTACGAAGATCCGTGAAGAACGACTCTTCTTGAAACCAGAGAAATGTACCTTTGACGC